ACAAGTGGATTAATCACTACCTTATCTCCAGCTAAGTCATTACCTAGCAATAAATGAACACCTTTAAAGGGTAAGAAAGATCTTATACCTACAGCCACCGGCCCAGTTACCAAATCTGAGGACAAATAAATATTATGGAGAGGGACATTAGAAAAACCACACTCTACACCCTGAATAAGGACACTAGATCCAGAAGAAGTCTTCTCAGAAAAAGGCAGTGTATCTGCTAAAATAAGAGATTGAGAAGCTCCTGTGTCTCTTAAAATTGTAATAGGAGTAGGTGGGCAAGTATCACCGATAAGTGACACGGAACCTTCCGAAAGGAATGGTTCATAAATCTCCATTATAGAATCAGACTTGGGTTCTTTGACCTTCAAAATTGCATTGTTATCAATACAAGACTGAGGTTCAGACCTTGAAGTGGTAAGACCTGTGGGTTTGGCCTCATCACGTTGTTGTTGCCTCCTTTTTAAGGTAAAGCAATCAGAAATAAGATGTCCAGTTTTCTTGCAATAATTGCATGTAGGACGAGATAAGGGATTATGACCTTTATGTTCATCAGATGACTTTGGTTTGGGAGTATTTGACTGACTAGATGAGCCAGATAAATTACCAGAACTGAACTTGGAATTAAAATGTGAGGGTGTGGACTTCCCTTTATTTAAAAATGAGACTTTGTGGGTTAAAGAATAATCATCAGCTAGACGGGCAGCTTCTTCCAAAGTTTCTACCTGTTTTTCATCTAAGAAATATTTAACATCAGAGTGAATGCAACGTTTAAACTCTTCAACTAACATGAGCTGTCTGAGCTTTTCATGATTTTTATTAATTTTCTTAGATAGACACCACCGATCAAAAAGTTGTTCTTTTTCTCTTGCAAATTCGACATGGGTTTGACCAATTTCTTTCTTAGAATTTCTGAATTTTTGCCTGTAGGCCTCTGGTACTAACTCATAACCTTTCAGAATTAATTCTTTTACATTATCATAATTAGAGGTTTGTTCAACAGTAAGTTGTGTATAGATTTCACGAGCTTTACCAATTAAGACGCTCTGTAAAAGTAATGTCCAGTGCTCTATTGGCCATTTTAAATTTTCAGCAACCTTTTCAAAATGAAGAAAATACTTATCAACTTCTTTTTCTTGGAAAGGTGGAACATGCCTAATATTTTTAGTGACATCAAATTTTGAATTTATTCTATGTTCAAACTGATTTGCTCTCTCTTTGATTTCTAATTCTCTCATTCTTAACTGAAATTCTCTCTCTTCTCTTTCTTTTTCTAATTTTCTCTCTTCCCTTTCTTTTTCAAACTGCCTTTCCCTTTCTTTTTCTTCCCTTTCTTTTTCTAACAGTAACTGCCTTTCTTCCCTTTCTTTTTCTAACTGTCTTTCTTCCCTTTCTTTTTCTAATACCATTTCTTCTAGTTCAAATTTAAATTGAAGTTCAAGCTCTTTTATCTTAATTTCAGAAATTTCAGAGTGTTTTTCAACAATGTGAGAAAGTGCATCTTCTCCAAAAATATCTTCATCCACAAAATAATGAATCAGAAGATTTTTAATTTCTTGTTTACGCATTGAAGATTTAATTTCTGATAAATTATACTTTTTTGCAAGATCGAGCAAATCAGTTTTCTTAGCCAAATCTAATACCTCCTGGGAAGGTTCAGCTACAAACTTTTCTAAATTAAAGGACATGACTGCTTGTTGCTGGTTTTAAACTCAGAAAGTGATGTGTTTCAAAAATTTCAAAATTGAAAGGCACACTTAATAGAACAACTATGATATCAACTCAAATGAGTAAATACGGTAATAATAAAATGTAAAGTAAACGGTAATAATTTCCAATATTGTAGCCAAAATAAATATTCAATCCCGGACGAGCCCCCAATTTCTGTTACGAGCCAGGCGTAACGAGAAAGAAAAGCCAGCAACAAACTTGTAACAATAACAAATTTATTACAGAAAAATTATTAAAGAAAAATAAAATAACAAATTATCTTTACAAATACCTGAAGTCCAAATAAAAATTACAAATGTCTAGTCTGATCCTGGAATGATCCTTTTTCAATAGCACAGTTAAATCCAAGTTAAATCCAAGAACACTTTAGAATAAATTCCCACAATAAAAACCACAAGAATAATTAATAATCCAAGCTCCAATTAATCATTTAATTTCCAAGTTGAATAATACTCCAAATATATTGATGACTTAAAAGATCACTGATGACTAAAAAGGGAAAGGTAATGAAAAATGTCAATTTATATATATTAACTAAGAAAATTCCAGAAAGGTCTATTATGTTCTCAAGTAATCATAATCTAGCAACTTCAACAATAAAGAACATTCCAGAAGTTTCTATCTAAATATAATGCATGAGTTTTCTACAACAGGTAAGAACGTTCTAGTTCATACATGTAGTTTATGTTCTAAAAATAGAATAATGATAATATTGGAAATACCAACTGGTTATATATAAATTATATACATGTAATAAGTTGCATACATAACACTATGTAAATCTTGGAAAATTCAGTATAATTTTATACTAGTGTTCTTCGCAAAGTTTTTAAAAGGTGGAGCAGTATCTTATAATTTAGACAGTGTCCATATTTTACGCTAAACATTTGTAAAAATAGAATTTTTAATAAATTTCTGTTTATATTTTTTAATCATCTTTTGCAAATTTTTCTGTTTTAAGTGACCCGGACGATCAATGTAAGAAATAGATTTATAATTTTAGGATTTTGGACCTCAGTGGAGTTCCTTTAACATTTTATTGCATTTTGTTCTTATATTTGTTCGGTATATTTGTCAATTCAAATGTCAATACTTGAAAAAAATATTTCAAACTTGCACTGACAATGATTACATTAAACTGCATGGAATTACTTTGTTATAACGCAGCAATGCTATTAAACCTGTTCTCTGAAATCTCTTTAGCTATAGGTATTCTTATGAACTTGTCTTCAATAAAATTCAAAGTTTGATTCTTTTCTGGCCATTTTAATATAAAATTAACGCATGCTGTATAAATAACATTTATGATACAAGACGGGAAACCAGACAGGTGTCTCACTGACGACCATAGGACAAATAAACCCTTAAGTCGTCAACACATGAAGAAAAATGTCGTCAATGGGGACCTAAAGTTGTCAAATTTTCTGGCGTTTTAAAAACAATCTTGTTAACATGAAGAACTGATTAAATCTTAAGAAATTGTTGAATCTAAAACCAGTAAAAATGCCATTTATTGCAAATTACTCTGACAATATCAAAGAAAATTTTAAAGCTTAACAATGATATGTAGTTTGGTATAATACTTTTGACAAACACAAATACTATTGAAATGTTGTTATATATATTTAAATGTTATGCAGCCAGTAAAATATAGTGAACACAAATAATATAAAATGCTTTTAAAGAACAAATTTACATGAAACGAAAAACTAGCATGAACACGAAGAGCCATGACCTTGACATTTTAAGTTGAACGTTTTGAAGGCAATTCCATTACTTTTGCGTATATTATGCTGTGCTTATTTACCATTTGTGTTATACACTCAATATCTGTTTTAAGTATTTTTAAAAAACAATAGCACATGTTTGTTGAGGTACAACACGTCTTGACAGCACCTTAGGTCATGTAGGTTCTTCAATAGGTCTAAGGAAGTATTTTGATGTGTGTGTAAGTAAGTTTATTTATACTCGGCGCCGGAATAACCATATGTCCGAGATTATAGCATCCTTGCCGGTCCACTACGGTAGTCTTATCGGGGACGTCTTTTTCAAGCAGAATCTTCCTGGTAGCCCATTCTTCGTTCGTTGGTGGTAAAGGAGACGACAATACTGTCAAGGCATCATGTTCCTGACTGACGATAACAAAAACGGCCTTCATTAGCGCCAACCCTCCAGAGTTTGTCACGACAGGTCAAACAATCACCTCTGGTACTTAAGATGACTTGACCTTGACCTGCCGTGTGCCTTCTCCGCGACGTGCACGCCTCTGGAAGGATTTGGAGAAGAGTATTTTGATTTAGACTTGTTGGCGGTTATAACCTCGTATATTGCCTTCCCGCCGTTTCGCTTCGGACTGCCGACTTTACGTTGGCCATCATATACTGCCACGGGGGTTGGATCATATGAGTTGTTAGCCTCGATATCAACTATGTATGACCCCAGTCGATCTAACTCCCGGCGACCGTAATGGTGCATTCCAACTACTTGAATGTTTCTTAGGACAAATTTCTTCATTACACCTTGAGAGAAAAGAAAATCAGTGTAATTTTTTCAAAAATAATGTTTTTGATATTGTGTCTTGTGTGTCTATAAGTGCTGGGCTTCAACTTTCCTACGTAACTTTAGTTGTCTTTTTTCCATTTGAAAAAGTTTCCTTCTCTTTGTTTTTTTTCTCAGTTCAGTTCTTTTTTCTTCTTCAATTTCTCTTTCTTTCTAAATAATTCCTTTATTATCTTCTTGGTTAATCATGGCTGTTTTCTTTCTTCCTTTAATTTTATATCCTGTTGTTTCTTCTTTTCCTTTGCTTCAATTTCTTGCTGTACATCTGTACTTGTCAAGACTCTTGCCTTCCCTGGCTCCTTCTTTTTACCTTTAGACGAAGAAGGTGGTGGTGGCGCAACCAGCACATTAACAAATTCACACAAAATCATTTGGGATAAGTCCTGTTTTTACTAGTTAAGTTTAATTTTGTCGGGGCCAATCACCATTCAGTACCATGCAATGTTTCTTGAATAAATGACGACAGCTGACTGACTTCTGTGTGTATTTGAGTTTATTTATGTCAAATTTTATACACTTGTTTCAGTTGTATTTCAAAAAGTTCATGTCCTTTTTTTATTCTCTTATTGAGAAAATTGTTAATGACAATTACATTTGTAATAAAATGTACATGTTTTTCTGTTTGAACAGGCGTATTCAAACCGCGCGATAAATTTTAGTTTTATTTGCCGTGTAGGTCAGTGTTGTATGTTCTTAAAGGTTTTTAAGCTTACATTTAAAATAAAATTGATACATTCTTTTGTTTATAGATACGCATGAAACCAGATAGAGTCACTCGAATTGTTGTAGCCTGCGCTGTTCTTCACTATTTAAGATAACAGTGGGGTGAGCCTCAAGACGGCAGTGACTGTGACCAAGACCAACCTCCAACAGAGATATTTCAGGGGCCTATGGATGGAAAAGGAGTTAGGCAGCACATTGTTCAGACATATTTCTAGGATAAAATAGAGTAAGTAAGAACATATTTTAAGGCAAATACAATCTATTTTTTCAAATTTCAAGTTAAACAAATTTTATACACCAAATGCAATATTTCATTTAAAACATCAAAATTTTAACAAGTTCTGTCCTCAGAACAAAGCACCAAAGCATACATTAAATAGTTTTGTTCATGTTAATCAATTTTATATTTTTCTATCAAAACATCAGCCAGTTGGGCAAATTTATTGTAACATTTCATTTGTGTCTCGGAGAGCTGGATCTGTCTCTCATAATATGTCATTTGTAGATCCTTCAGTGTCCTGTAATATATAAAAGAAATTTTGGTTTACATTTACTTACTTGGCTTTACATTGGCTTACAAGTATTGTTCTTTTTCGACTAAATCTGCACGTTCGATATCTTATTTTATCCTGCCAAACCAGTATTCTACCATATCATGCCAAATCTTATTAAAACAATTCCTGTCACTAGTGTCATATTCTAGCATGTCAAATTTTGACATTCTATCATGTTACATCCTATCATATCCTATCACAAAGTCATATAACGATTTGACAGTTTATCTATCATTACATTTTTATCTATCTAGTTTAAAAAGTTCTTAAAAAGATCAAAAACATATTTCTTCCAGGCTAACAGATGATGAGAACCGGAGCTGGGTGTGACGGACGTGTTTTTTAAATATTGTGAAATGAATTTTATATATTAAAAGTATGTTTTAACCTTTTCTGGTGAGTTTTGTTGTTATGCTTGCTCTTTTCATCCGACGTAACTGCAAATAAATTTTACACTTTATTAGATTAATAAAATTATTGGGAAATATCGTCATATATATCCCACTTTGAATGTAGGAGAGATAAATTTGATTAACTGACTAGATTTGGATTTTTTCTTTCTTTTTTAACCCGTAATAAAATCTCACAAAACTGAAAATTAGGACAAAAGTTATAACGTTCCAGCTTTACTGGTGAAGCAAGACGACAGGTGTTCCTTCGTGCATTATTTCACGCACAGGCGACTACTTGAGTATTACAACCGACATTCAATGAATCTCAAAATTTATATTTCCACATGTTTCAGTATGCCAAAATTAAGAGGTAGCAGATAGACGTAATTTTATATGATATACTGTACATCTATTTATTGAATTTGGTAGATGTGATAATGAAGATTTATAAGGGAAAATATAAGGAAAATAAAATTAAAAAATAATCACATGAAGCAGTTTGGCTTGGAGCATTTGTTGCGGACCCCTCTGGATAACTTGGTCTTGATTCGTCTGCTGTCACCGACATGGATGGCATGTTCATGTTATCTTGAACATCTGCAATATTTCATTTGTAAAAGTCATGCAAAAAGAAACATTTTTCAATATTGAATATTTTTATGAAAAATATAATATCTGAGTATGGGTCATGAAAATTGATTGGATAAATAAGAAGACTATTCACAACTTAAATGTCATATCTAATAAAATGTATGATACACCTTCCTACAAAAGTACAAATATTACAGAATTTTACAAGAAAAATAAATCATATCTGTCTACAGTAATATTGGAAATTGTCGTAGTTTGGTAAAGACGGATGTAGTCTTCCATAGTTCACCGAAACAGGTCAACGGGTGAGTTTATATGTGAATATATTTAGGTAAGGCAGGAATGTGTTAATTCGTTTAAATGGTTGGTGCACACGTTAACTGTGTTATATAATTGAATAATAACTGTAAAAACTATGTGTTTATTAATTCTTATAGCACATACAAGTTCAAAAATGTTGAAAATGGAAAACATTAATTACTTTACTGTATTACACATTTGTAAAAACCGCCCACTAAGATACACAGTGTTCTATTCTGTGAATAGTGTGTAAACCGGTAAAATTTTAAACCAGAACTGTATGCATGTGTTAACATATTGGAATATTAATTATTTATCGACTTTTATTCATTTAGTGACTTGAATAAATGAACGTTATCAAGGATAATAAGTGCATAATCTAGGAAATGGATGGTGAAATTTATTTCGGAGCTTTTTAAATTATTTAAAGTAAATCAGAAGATCCAGACACCTTTTGTTAACGTCTCAAGCGGACACAAGCTAAGAAGGTCACTGCTTAGAAGATTGTCATCAACAATGTCATAACTTGAATCATCAAAGTCTGAAAAAAAAAAACAATAACACACATTTCATAAGATGGAAACGCTATACATGCATATGACTAGCTTTGGAGTGTTTTAATATAATTTATAGACATTTAGATCAGGACAATGAAATTGGAAATACAACATCATGAACATGTAACGAAATCAGTAGATTAACTGTAAATAAATTAGACCTGACAGTGTACGTACTAATTGTAAAAAAATTTTCAGTCAGGATTGATGAAGTTATTCAGGTATGTACTCTTTGATATTTACTGTGATACTAGCAGTTTTTTATAATTATTTTACACATATTCGATTACATATTTACCTGGGTTTGTGATGACGGTGTCGGCATCAGAACATACACCATGGAATGATGCTGAGGTCTACTATAGGTATTTATATATAGATTATAATTTATAGGTAAAATATAGATATCTAGTATACAAACAATATGTATTTCACGTCACATATAAAAAATATGTTTTGTTCACAATCAGGTAAAGACCGCTACAAGAGTGAAGTTTCTGCAGAGAAATGCAGTATGAGGAAAACGGGAGGTGGGCCGGTGTAACGTTGTAAAGTGACCCCCATAGAATAATGACCCCCGGTCG